CTCCAGTGGAGCTCCCTATGGGTCCCCGAAACATGATGCTGCTGCGGGGGGGGTGCCGGGTTGGGTGGCGGAGGCGCATGTAAGCGCCGCTACCGGGGCCTTCGGTGGAGCTCCCTATGGAGCCACGAAGCGCGTGAGGGGTGCACTGGGATGCGTGGCGGGGACGCATGTGAGCGCCGCCACTGGGGCCTTCGGTGCAGCTCCCTACGGGGCCACGAAACGTGTGAGGGGTGTGCCGAATTGGGTGCGGGTGGTGACGCATGCGGGCGGTGCCACTGGGGCCTTCGGTGGAGCTCCCTATGGGGCCACCTGTTGTTGTGAGGGGCGTGCCGGGATGGGTGGCGGGGACGCATGTGAGCGCGGCCGCTGGGGCCTTCGGTGGAGCTCCCTATGGGGCCACGAAACGTGTGAGGGGTGTGCCGAATTGGGTGTGCGGGACGCATGCGGCGGCAGCACTGGGGCCTTCGGTGGAGCTCCCTATGGGGCCACGAAACGTGTGAGGGGTGTGCCGAATTGGGTGTGCGGGACGCATGCGGGCGGCAGCACTGGGGCCTTCGGTGGAGCTCCCTATGGGGCCACGAAACGTGTGACGTCCGAATTGGGTGTGCGCATGCGGGCGGCAGCGCTGGGGCCTTCGGTGGCTCCCTATGGGGCCACGAAACGTGTGAGGGGTGTGCCGAATTGGGTGTGCGTGACGCATGCGGGCGGCAGCACTGGGGCCTTCGGCGGAGCTCCCTATGGGGCCACGAAACGTGTGAGGGGTGTGCCGAATTGGGTGTGCGGGGCGCATGCGGGCGGCAGCGCTGGGGCCTTCGGTGGAGCTCCCTATGGGGCCACAGCGTGTGAGCGGTGTGCCGAAATGGGTGTGCGGGACGCATGCGGGCGGCAGCGCTGGGGCCTTCTGCGGAGCTCCCTATGGGGCCACGAACGTGTGAGGGGTGTGCCGAATTGGGTGCGCGTGACGCATGCGGGCGGCAGCACGGGGGCCTTCGGTGGAGCTCCCTATGGGGCCACGAAACGTGCGTGCGTGACGCATGCGGGCGGCAGCACTGGGGCCTTCGGCGGGGCTCCTGATGGGGCCACGAAACGTGTGAGGGGTGTGCCGAATTGGGTGTGCGTGACGCATGCGGGCGGCAGCGCTGGGGCCTTCGGTGGAGCTCCCTATGGGGCCACGAAACGTGTGAGGGGTGTGCCGAATTGGGTGTGCGTGACGCATGCGGGCGGCAGGCTGGGGCCTTCGGCGCTCCCTATGGGGCCACGACGTGTGAGGGGTGTGCGAATTGGGTGTGCGTGACGCATGCGGGCGGCAGCGCTGGGGCCTTCGGCGGAGCTCCCTATGGGGCCACGAAGCGTGTGAGGGGGGTGCCGAATTAGGTGTGCGTGACGCATGCGGGCGGCAGCACTGGGGCCTTCGGTGGAGCGCCTTATGGGGCCACGAAACGTGTGAGGGGTGTGCCAAATTGGGTGTGCGTGACGCATGCGGGCGGCAGCACTGGGGCCTTCGGCGGAGCTCCCCATGGGGTCACGAAACGTGTGCGGGGTGTGCCGAATTGGGCGTGCGTGACGCATGCGGGCGGCAGCACTGGGGCCTTCGGTGGAGCTCCCCATGGGGCCACGAAACATGTGAGGGTGTGCCGAATTGGGCGTGCGTGACGCATGCGGGCGGCAGCGCTGGGACCTTCGGCGGAGCTCCCTATGGGGCCACGAAACGTGTGAGGGGTGTGCCGAATTGGGTGTGCGTGACGCATGCGGGCGGCAGCAAGGAGGAGGGGGCAGAGGAGGAGAGGAGGACGCGGGGCACCGTCTCTTCAAAACGATGGGGGAACCGCGCGTTTGCTTCTACCTTTGCTGTTGCTTTTGCTTGGCTCCCAGGGGACTGGGGGAACCGCCCGGGGCGATTTCCACTGCCCGGCCCCTTTCAGCGAAGCGAGTAAGAACCCTTCTAGGCAGAGCCTAGGTAGGGAAAAACGCATAAACACAAGGGTTTTATTGGTTTTGCGCCGGACGGGGTCGTCGTTGAGAGGGTGCCTAGCACGGATGCGGGGATTGGGGTGGCGTCGGTGTTTGGAGACGGCGGTTTGCGTGGCAAGTGCGTTTAGCTGGCCGCATTTGTTTGGAGCGCGTGACGGGTGGACAGGCCGCTCACCAGCACTTGGCAGTCCTCTGCCCGCGTGCCAGAACATATCGTCGCGCGCTCGCAACGGGGTGTGGGAAAGGGGTTGGGAAGAGAGCGCGAGTCTCCTTTCCAAAGAGTCCCTTCGATAGGCAGCAAACAATCATTTGTCTGTTCATACGCCGCACGGCCAACCGAACGAACGAACAACTGTCTCGGCGCGCAGCCTTAGCTTCGCTTGCGCGCATCCTGGTTTCCTTCCGTTGCTTCTTTCGTTTTTTTCTCGCCCTCCTCTTCCTTTTCCTGTTCCCCTGCTTTGCCGTATCCCGCCCCCCTTCCTTTCCAGCTGGTATCTGTCACCGCGCGCGAAAAACGCAACCCAAAGGGCGCTGCTGCAATTCTTTTTGTGCGCCACGAAATCTCGTGTAATTTTTTTGTGTACGGTCCGGTTGCATTGCCAACGCGGGGGGCCACACAAAGGAATTTCCTTTGCGTGCGATCGTTTTCGCCGGCCCCACAAGACCACGCGCGATTCTTTTGCGTAGAGTTTGTTTTCCCACCTCGAGGAGCGCACGGGGCCTGGCGCTACAAACGCAAGGCCGCGGCGCCTGGCAGTGCGATGCAGCTGCGCTGGATACCACGCCCAAAACGATCTTACGTGGATTTCTGCAGAAATCGCGCTGGCAGCTGGCCAGCCATATCGCCGGCCCTGCATGCCCTCGCGCGCTACTGCGTTCTGCTGCCGCGACGCGTGCTGCTGTCAGCGGATGACCAAACTGACGTTGCATGGTGGCTTGGTTGTGCCAAACCACCATGTAATGTCTGTTGGTAGCGGAGTTTGGGATTTTGTCGCCGCTGACAGCGCTGTCACACCATACCTTTCAAGTGCATCTTAGAGCCCGGCCGTACACCAACCCTGGGCCAGATCGCCGGAGATCCAGTGGCATGGGTGCACATGCGTTGCACCGCTGGTGGTGCCAAAACCCTTGGTGAGAAATTATTGTTGTGTGTTTTTGTTTCTGGTTTTGATTAGTTGGTGTGGCCGATGTTGTTATCATTATTGTCGTTGTGGTGGTGGTAGTTGGATGTCAGTCGCCATGCCCATGTCTCCGGAGTGCGGCGCAGGCCGCGCTAGTCCTAAGAGTCACAGGGCTTGGTCAAGTCGTGATGCTGGTAAGGGTGGTCCAGGATTTGAAGTTTTTCCAATGCGCAGGCCATGTAGCGATGATAACCGATATGGTAGTTGACGTTGTGTGGTATACCCGGAACATGCCCAAGTTGGTGGTGGTTGTTGTCGTAGTGATTGGTGCGGTCGTTGTCGTAAGTGCGGGTGGGCCCCATATCCAGCAGCTTGTTATGGTACGATGGTGGTCTTAGTTTTAGCAGCTGCATTGTCCAATCGATTCCAGATGGTAGTCCTGGAGGTCCTGGGTGGGCAGCCTCCCCAGCCCGCACCCCAGCACATGGTGAAAATCTATACGGGAAATGGTGGAGCATGGTTGAGGCCGTACGTCCACACACGTTGCGACCGACCCCACATAATCGCTTCAGCTGAATAGTTTAGAACCAGGCCCGGCAGCCAAGTGAACATGCGATACGATAGCTGTTGCCAGGCGTCACAACCGGCACAGCCTGAGGCCCCATGAGGATCACCACATGGCCAGGGCCCCAAATCGATCCTTGGAGGCTCGATGCAGCTCAGGTGCATCAGGACATACACCACACGGACACTCAGAGGCCCCCATCGGAGTCCCCGTTGGGGTTTCTTTCGGCATCTCCTGCCAGGGGCAGCAATGCAGAGACCTCTGTGCTCCTTGAGTGAGCTATCATGGGGCTCTGTTCGGAGTTCTGAAATAAAGATTTGTCCAATTTGGGAAATGTCGGAGGTGGCTAAGCGAAGGGGTCGGAAGTCGGAGTCAGAAGCATACCAACATATAGCACTATCGTATCCAAAGTTGTCGCGCTCCTCGATTTGCCTTCCACATTTTGCTCTCCTTCCTCATGCGAATCGTCGTTGCGTTGACCGACGTGATAATCGTGCGGATCGTCGTCGTCGTGCTCAAAGTGTTTCGCATCGTCATCCCTATCATCCAGAATACCGTAGTTTTCATCGTCCCTCTCTTGTGCATTCCCTTCGTATACAGTGGTATCTTGGATGCCTCGGATGCCGCCGGCAACGTTATTGCAGGTGGAGTTGGCGATTGCATCGGAAGCCAGAATTGCAACAAGATCTTCGATGCCATCGGGAGGCCGGAGTCGGAACCAGATTTCTGATGGGATCGGCCACCGGAGTCGGAGCAACATCAGCAGCAACATCAGCATCAATGTCGGACGTGGGGCCAAAATTTGTTGTGGGCTCGGGAGCAGGAGTCGGAAACGCAATGAGACTGGACATTTTTTCTGCGCCCCAGCACCCAACCAAGTGACACGAGCGCCAAGCACGCAAGCCGAGCCAGGATGAAACCAAGAGGACTTCCAGGTCAGCGAGGCCAAGCGATGCCAAGCGCTGGCTCCAAAGAAAAGGTGGGTAGGTCCCCAGATCGTGGAGCACCATTCGAATTACGGACCGTTGCAGGCGACTCCGAATACGGTTTGGGCGGGAGCCGGAGTCGGAACACGATTTGCGATAGGGTTGATAGGGTCGGTAGTCGGGAGGATAATGGTATTTACATGAACGTGCTGCCAGTCGGATCTAGAATGGGATTTATCATGGAAGCGTATTACGATGGGTTTGCCATCGGAAAATCTAGTATCAATCCGGTTAAAAAAATCCTCCCCTCTCGTCGTCGTCGTCCTCGCCCCCGTCCTCGTCTTCGTCCTCGTCGTCGTCGTCTTCTTCGTCGGCGTGGTATTCGTCGTCGTCGTCGTTGTCGGGGGCGGTCCCCAGTCTTCCTGGGGCTTGTGGCCCCTCTGGGGAGGGGGGCGTTTTCGGCAGCGACCTCATTTCGCAGGCCCGGCCAGATGCAGCAACATGCATCTGGCTGTTACTACCTTGCTATTCAGCCATAGTTGATTCTAGGGTCATTCGTCCCGAGCGCTTTGGAGGGTGTGGCTGAATCAGCTCGCCGGCCGCACGAGTTACACAGAGAGCCAAACCACTTCTGTGGCGCCGCCCTCAGGGCATTAGTGCGGATGTCTTCCTTGCAGGTTGGCTGTGACGTGGCGGTGTCACTAGGTGGATCGGCTTTTAGATGGTGTCTGTGTCCCATCCTTCTCCTCTACTGGGCGTCGGCTCGAAAAACGCTCGGGCCCGTCCTCCCCCGTCTCCTGCGGGGTTCCTCCTCCTCCTCCTCCTCCTCCTCCTCCTCCTCCTCCACCTCCCCCTCCCCTTGAAGCTGTTTGTACTTGCGTGTCCTAGTTTTGTTTATGTTCATTCCCGCTGGAAGTTCTACAGCGGCCTCCAAGCATCGGCCTCTTCGTCGACTGGCGGACTGGTAGTCTGTGGCGCTGGTGTCCCGCCAGGCGGGCCTGGCCAGCATGCTGGGCGCTTCGCCCCTCAGAGTCTCGCCGACCGCCGGCCCTCGGCCCCATCGCTGGGGCGATTGCAGGCCTGGCGCGCAGCCTTTAACCATCGGTGTCATCATCGCAACTAGGTCGTTCTTGTTTGCCCGTTGTATTATATGCCGACCCTGTGGGTTTGGTGCCTCTGCTCTGGCACAGGCTTTCTGAGCACATCGCTGCGCTCTGTTCTCCCCCTTCGTCTCCTTCCTCGTCGTCCTCCCTCCTCGTTTGCGGCGTGGAAGCTGTAGGGCAATCCACAGCTGACGCCGGAGCTCGCTCAATGTTTTGTATTTTTTACATATCGATATCTCTGTGGCGGGCCTCTAGTGTTTTTCCTCCTTCTTCCTCCTCTTTTGTTTTCAGGGCCAGTGTCCAGTGCACATTCCTGTAGGGTGCCATCGAGTGAGGGTAGGCTTTCACATCGCTTGGTACTGTCTCGGTACACTGTTGGCTCGAAAACTGTGCGCGTGTTGTCGTGTAGCGGTGAGTCTTTTATCTTGTGGCCGCGTAGGCCCCGGGGTAGGTAAATCACGACTGCATGCCAGAGGCCGCGGGCGGATGCATGGATCTAGAGCTCTGACTTGGCGTGGGACTTCATCTGCATCACGATCTCTTCTAACTCTGCTCTCGATGCGAACGGCTCGCGTGTGCGGGAACACCATGCTGATGGAATGGTTCTCGTGGGAAAAAGCCAAAACAAAGACAAAACAAAAAAAACTTCAAAAACTTTCAGCAGCGCTATCGTCGGAAGTGTAATGAGCAGGCTTAAGTATGAGAGCGGGAGGTGTACGCGTGAAAGTATTATCTATAAGATTTCTTCCCCGCGCCGTAACGAGCACCGGAATTGTAGAATGGTCGGGTTTCACAGTCGTGCCATCCGGAGTCGGTATTGGAATGGAAGCTGGAATCGGACACTGTTCGTACTGTAGTCGTCGTATCCGAATTCGAATTTGGAGCTGGGGCCGGAGCCGGACAAAGTGATATTGTAGTCGTCGTATCATCCGAAATCGACGTCGATTCCGGATGTTCATGATACGCCCCATTGTAAAACACCGCGCGTGCTGTCTCCGTCATCGGAGGCCAGGGGGTGAGATCGAAGTGGAACGGAGGGCCCCCCTACCGGGAAATCGGTTTCGGTATCGTGTTCGTGCGTGCCGTGCATGCGGGCGAGGCGGAGCTGCGTGGGCGGGCGAGAAAAAAGTCTCCTCCGGCTGAGGCGCGGCCGGACCAAATGGTTCCTCTCCGGGAGCCGGTGGCGCGCGGTGTCCCGCTGGTGTCCCGCCTCGGGCTGAGGCGCGGCCGGACCAAATGTTTCCTCTCCGGGGGCCCGTGGCGCGCGGTGTCCCGCCGGTGTCCCGCGGTGTCCCGTCGGCGTCCCGATGATGATGATGATGATGATGATGATGATGATGATGATGATGATGATGATGATGATGATGATGATGTCGATGGTGTCGATGATGATGATGATGATAATGATGATGATGATGATGGTGATGGTGGTGATGCTGATGGTGTCCCGATGATGATGCTGATGATGATGTTGACGATGTTGGTGATGATGATGATGGTGATGGTGATGGTGGTGATGATGATGATGGTATCCCGATGGTAATGTTGATGATGATGTCGTTGATGATGATGATGGTGTCCCAATGATGATGGTATTGCTGATGATCCTGATGATGGTGATGATGATATGATGATGAGACGATGATGAGGATGAAGATGACGATGATGATGGTGTCCCGATGATGATGATGATGCTGTTGATGATGACAGTGATGATGATGATGATGCTGGTGTCCCGATGTTGATGGTGATGATGATGACGATGATGGTGTCCCGATGATGATGATGATGATGTTGATGACGAGATTGATGATGAGGTGACGATTGTGATGTTGATGATGTTGGCCCGATGATCGTATATGATGGTGTTGATGATGATGCTGATGTTGATGATGACGATGGTGTCCCGATGATGATGGTGATGATGATTATGATGGTGACGATGATGATGGTGTCCCAATGATATTGATGATTATGATGTTGATGATGATGACGATGTTGCTGATGATGATGGTGTCCCGATGATGATGATGATGATGATGATGATGATGATGGTTGTGACGATGATGGTGTCCCGATGATGATGATGGTGGTGATGCTGATGTTGATGATGATGGGATGATGTGATGATGATGAGGGTGTCCCGATGATGATGGTGATGATGTTGATGACGTTGATGACGATGATGCTGCTGATGCTGGTTATGATGATTATGATGACGTTGATTGTGAGATCGATTGCGATATCGATAGTGAGATTGGTAGTGAGGCCGAATGTGAAGTGGATTGTGAGATCGATAGCGATATCGATTGTGATATCGATAGTCAGAGCCATTGTGAGATCGATCGAATGAAACATATTCAGTGAGATCGATTGTGGCATCGACCGAGCGAGATCGATCGAGCGACACCGATAGTGAGATCGATAGTGATATCGATAGGGAGACCGATCGAGAGATACGTTGGTTCCTCCCCCCCACGAGCCTCCTGATCACCCGAAGGGTGGTCGTATAGGTAGCGTATGCCAAACCAAAGTTATGTTGTGCAGCAGTCGCGCCATAGCATCTACAAAACAGGTCGACATGCAAGGTGAGTCGGATGGTATGTAGGTTATGGGGAGGAGGAGCCTTGGAGCCTTTAGCTTCCAGCCATGGCAATTACGAGTTTGCACCAACGGAAGCGGCAACTGTAGAGTGCGATCGGCAAGAAACAATGCAGAATCGGCAATTCACGCGCAAATTTTGGAGCCCAAGAAGCCGGTCTCCCCCAATCTCGTTCGAATGATCCGTGTTCGAGATATGTCGCGGAACTTGATTGCGGACGATCGTTTTGTTTTCGGGAATTGCGTGGATGTTTTTTGAATGGGAATCTCGCACCCATTATACAGGAAGTTCAACATTTGGCTTTGGGATTTCGCTTTCCCATTTTTTCACACCACATCTCCACTAAATCAAGTTGGGTAATTTCCTCGGGGCGGCGGGGGGGCCTCCACCAGAGAGGGTGCGCATCTTCCTCGGCTCTTTGGCTGATTGCCGATGTTGGGCCATCATCATATAGCCGTACATCCAGCAGGACGCGTTGGCACGACAACCGCATAGGGCCGCCGAAGGAAAATAAGTTTAACACTGCAACTCAGAATTTTGCTGGAGGAGGGGGGGAAGAGGGAAGATTGAAAAGGCCGAACTAGTTACGTAGCAGCAGGGGTGCTCAATTGTGCTGACACAGTTTGTACAGTTCTGAAGTCCATTGCTGTCTCGGCCGGCCACGACGTCGATGTTCCACCCAAGTTTTCGGTGTGCCATCTTGTTGGCAGACGATCTGACGGACGAGCGACACAGGCCCACCTGATATTTTGTGGTGCAATTTCTTTTGTGTGCCCAATAACACCTGAGAAAGGAACTCTTGAAGAAAGAAAGCTGGACACCTAACATGCGCCTCAGACAACGGCAGTGGAACGCATCGAACCTGCGTCGGTCAGCTTGTGCTAGCCAAAGGGAACCGAGGAAATATAATAATTTGCCCAGGACGCAGCTGTCGTACACTTTGTGTTTTCTGTTCCAGCCCAGTGCTGCATGGTACCAAAGTTTTGCAAATTGCTTGAAGATACGTTGCGTTTCGCCGAGGCGCCGGGTGACCTTTGGCGTCGTTTTGCCAGCGCAAGTATACACTGCTTCCCGGACTACCTTGATCGGGTTTCCACCAGGTAGTTTTGCCGCTTCCTTCGTCGAGATCTGCATTTGGAGCGTCTCGTCCCACTTGAGTTCAAGACCATATTTCTGCCCTTTCAGTACAATAGATTTCAGCATGTTTTGAATATTAACTTTGTTGCGTGAGGCCAATAACGTGTCGCCTGCGTACAATATGTCTCGCGTTACTATGTAAAGCTGGCTCAGCCTCGAAAGCAACATGTTGAAAAGCACCATGAAGCACGATTGACTGCACAACGATGAATAAGTAAGGTGAGAGAGGGCATCCTTGAGCGATGCCGGCCATTTGTCGCCTCTCTTTCGATTGCCCGTTGTGGTCGGCAATGGTGAAGCGCTCGGCATACATAACTTTGACCATGTCCACCATATTTGCAGGAAGCCCAAATCGGCGCATAGCGTCGCACATGCTCTCTGGTTTGAACCTATCGAACGCCTTGGCCCAATCCAACATTAACAAAGAAAGCCGCCGTGCTTTTTGTTATGTGCAGCGTCGGCAATGCGCCGGACAAGCATGAGTGCGTATGTTGTTCCACGCCCGGGGCGGAAACCAAATTGAGAATAAGGCATGCGGCTCTTTGCACCGCCGCGAATCAGCCGTTGATGTAACATTGAAGCGATAATGTTATACCCAATTTGTAATAGCGAAATCGGCCTGTAGTTTTCTGGCAATGCGATATTTCCTTTTTAAAATTACCCTGGCGGCGTACCCAACCCCTGCGCAACACGGGGCATGAGTAGCTTGGGATACGTTATACGGAGGTGATGACGTGACATGGGCACATCTACTCCTGCAAGCGGCATTAGCGAGGCTCGCAGCCCCCCTGGGATTGCGATGTCCCGCTCAGATCTGCCTGGTGCCTCGCTCCGCTGGGCCCACCAGCAGCCCTCGAAAGTGGCGACAATGTCGCAAATCGCAACCCCCCAGGG